TCTAAATTCAGGGAAAAAGAGAGAGGGCTCCTTGCCTGCTATTTCAGTACCCACACTCTCAGCTAAGCCTACAGCGAAGCTAAAGTTGACCAGGGATTGTGGATACCCAAGAGGGATTTCTCTATGATTGCAAGAGGCAGCCTTTCCACACCCACCACAATGGGACACAGGCAGCAGTCCTGAGCCAGCTATAAAGATGCTCTGTCTGAAGCCCCCTGAAGAAAACCACTGTATCACACTTAGGGATCTTGGCTTACTCTTCTATCTTGAAGTAACAGCGACCCAAGGTCATAGTAACCATGAAGTTTTGAGAAATGAGAATGAGATATGGGAAATTAAGCTTCAGGACAGAGGTTGAAAGTGAGGCATAAAGGAATGTTTGCAGTTTAATAATTTTTTTAGGAACAGCAGCATACAGACCCACTCTGTTAGCCTGCAGCAGGCCAAGTCGAGGGAATAATCTTAGAGGTCCAGTTCTATGCTGAGCAGGGCATTCTGGGGGAAGCAGTTGTACATCCAGAGTTGCCTTTGGATACTGGGTAAAATAGGAGTGGGTCTTTTCTACTACATTAGTACACATGAACAGTGTCACAGTCTTTACACACAACACGGGGAAATGATTTCTACATGGCTTTTCATTGCTTTCTTAATCCCCTCTCAACCCATCTATAACCTAATTTAGGCAGATTAACAAATTACATTTGTCTGAATAAGTCAAAATTTATGCCAGGTGAACGTAAAGAATAAAATATCACAAAATTCTAGAAAGCTAGAATGGCAGAACTAGAAAGTTCATATGCTCTAATCCTCTCATTTAACACACAGATAAATTGAGGTATAGAGAAGTAAAGTGCTTGCAAAAAGTCAAAGAGCAAGTCAAGAACACAGGTTGTCTAACTCATAGCCCCTGTCTAGCTAGTATTACTGAGATCACCAGCCCTTTGGGGTCCACATTTAGACTTAGAATAAACATTTGAGACTACTAGACAGTGAGCCAAGAATCCAGCCTCAAGCAGCTACTCCAACTCAAACAAATATCTTCCCTGGTTGGCTTCCCAATAGCCCAACCTCTCCTCCTCATCCCTTCCAGTATGAGTCAAAGTCTCAGTTTGGGACCCAGTTTGGTTGGAGAGGAGGCAGGGAGAATTGAGTTGAAAGATGCCTGGCCAATGGCCCTGTGACCTGAAGCTCCAAAGCAAGCACTGAGCCAACATGATTTAGCTTCTCTGGACAGTAGGCAAAAGCTTTCAGTCAAAGGCAAGATGTTGTCAGGTATGCTCAAAAGATACCTGGCTCCCAGAGTCAGCATTTAGTGTTCAGCCCAGTGAGACACTGAACAAGCAACGAAAACCCCTAAGATGAGGAAGAAAAAGACAGCCTAATGTGCTACTGGCCTCACCCATCCTTGGGACTCTTTTTGCCCAAAAGGCAGAGTGTACCCTTTTCCCACACCTAGAAAATTATATCTTCATCAGAGTAGCCCATGAGCCTGAACTATATAGTGCCCAACCTTTTTGACCATTGCCCTTGCTCCTGGGTGGTGAGAGCCCTAACCATAGTCTCCTTACCTGGTAGCTTGCAAGGGCCATGTTTATAAACTGCCCAATAAAAGACTCCTCCCATCATATTTTATGGCTTGGTGTTAGACTGGTAGTCAAGGTGGAGAGTGCAGGCTAAAGGGTTTACTCTGGAGCACGTTAAAAAAGACCTAAGCTTGGAGCCAATGTTAACAGCTCTTCTTTGTTCTGCTTTGTCCCCTGAACCCCCAACTCTAAGCCTGCCCAGCTCTAACTCACTTAGGGTTTCAATAATGAGCTGAGACCTGTAACCAACGGCACCTTGCTTCTCTTTCTCCTCTTTCCTTCAAAAGTCTCCTCTCTCATCCCAGGGAGCCATATTATACTTTTCATCAAATTGCCTGGTTGCCCCTGTCCTGTCTGCTGCTTGGTGTGGGTTGAGGGACTCCCAAATTTCCCACAAGCTCTGCAAAAAATATAGGCTAATTTCTCTCCTGACCTTTTTCTTCTTTTTCCTGAATCAGACCTTGGTCACTTGCATCTATCTCAGGAAACTTTTGCCTGCGAGTCCTCCCAAGCTAAGGATGAAAGGAAAATTGGCTTCCCTTTCAAAACAAGTGAAGAGAAGGGACAAGATATACTGCTAGTGCCACCATACAATTGTATAGAGTCCACAGAGACTATATATTGCATTTTCTAGAATGGCCTGAGTTTCACTTCTCTTTTACTCTCTGTGGCTTTTTCCCATTCCCAGAGACCCTTCTGATGTGGATTCAGCCCCCAAACATCAAAACTACCTTTTTCTGGGACTCCCTCACAACAGTCCAGAACATCTGCATAACTTTAGACCCACTAAGCTGATCAGTGCAGCTTTAAGGCTGTAAGGATACCAGGCCTACCCTAAGAGAATTTTGGTTGTGAGGTGCCTCCAAACATTACATTCATAAATTTTTGTAGATGGAAGGCATGTCAGGCATTAATAGAAATGGACAACGCTCCAACCCCATTGACTGGGGTGTGTGTTCTGTGTTCCCTGGAATGACTATTGGGCAAATATGGCTGGTAAAGATTTTAGCAAGTTTCTGTGGGCTTCTTCTATCCCTTTTAGAAAACAGTGCTGTGACACATGTGGCAGGGAAATTTTGGGTAAATTGCAGGAAGTGTGTGGAGGCAGAGATACATTTGGAACCTCAGAATCTGAATGGTTGCTTGAGAAAGCTGAAGGGCTCAAGAAAGGTAGTGCTGAGGATGAGATTTTCTAAGAGCTCAGGAATGTGGTGGGGGTGTTCCTGAGTTTTTCAAATTAAAAACTGAGGTATTCCCGAGAGCCTTCAGTATCAAAAACAATTTTCATGAATTCAACACACCGCAACAAGGACCCAAGCCAAAGTATTCTGAGATTCTGGGGCATAACAAATTCTTTTCTGTCCTGTCCTGACTTATACTCACCAAAATTTAAACCAGTAACCTTAAACCCTCAATAGACCTAGTCAGTGTCAGAGTACACACCAGCCACACCTTTGCACAGCCCATTGCACCCCCCTTCCCAGCAGCAGTGTGAGGTCTTGACAGGAAAGTCCCAACCAGCCCTCCTTGTGAGTCCCCTATGATCACCTACTTTGAAGTTTGTTCCCCAGCAGTGAACCTCTTCCTGGTAAAATAGTGGTTTTTCCAAGTTTTATTACACACTCCTAAAGCCGCAGCTCTAAGCCTGCTCACACCACATGAATGCCAAAGCCTAGCTTCAGCCATCCCTCACTATGTCCCATGATGTTTCACCCAGATTTTGCCAGATTTTGCCGCTGATCCCAAAAGCCAACAGCCTGCCTCCAACCACAGAGCAATGCTCGGCAGGTGCCCTCCCAGGTAACCTAGGCAACAGTCAGAGGCTCTAGCTTGGTTGCCTTCCCAAGAGCCCCTGAAGTGCATCAAAGCAGGAAAAGGTAGCCCCAGGGTTGAGTGTGACAGTAACTTCTCCCAAGAAGTTGTTCTACACATTCCAGGGAACAGTTCCACTCAGGCATCAATGCATCCTGGGCAATCCTGAGGCTGCTCTGGACAGCCACTGATCCTCACTCAAACTTTCAAGTGGGGCCAGCACATTGGCACCAAGATCAGTGGCACCAAGAGCCCACAAACTCCTTCTTCAAGAGCAGCTCAGTGAAGCTAAAAACTAAAAAAATGAGTCCTTGTTTGAGAGCCTTAGGAGAGGCTCTCCAAGGGCCCACGGGACCCACAGGTGGACGCCCAGGGAAAAGGGCTTTTATTTTCACTAAATAATCCCCAGCCCCCCTCAGAGAGGAACAGCAGTATGTGTTGGGGGTGGGAGGGAACCCTTCAGCCCAGGGCAACAAGGTGAGTAGGCACATATTCTGAGCTGCAAACTTGCAGCGGGTCACAAATGCAGCTGTCCTGAGGAGCCACGAGAGGGAGTGAACTTTGAGGAGAGGGGCTCCGAAGGCCCTCAGCTTCCTCCCGAGACTCCTCAACAGAACTGCTGAAGGGCTTTGCTGGTGGCTTGTTGAGAAAACTGGATGGCTTCTTTGACTTATCCGAGCTCACACACAGGCTAAATGAGAGGAGTGCACAAGCCTCCAGTCTTCTGGCCGCCGGCCTTGCTTGTCTTAAAGGGAAAAAATCAAGTTGGCCTCACGCGAAAGCGGGAGAGGTGGAGGCCGGCATTCCGGCTAAGGCTCAAAGAGGCACCCGGAGCACAGAGGACAGCAGAGAGGCGCAGGGCGCCAGAGAAGGCACCGTTGAAGTTGGGGGCGGCGCGGAGTGAGCCGCAGGGCCCAGCCTGCCAGCCGCTTCATGCCTCTCTGGGCTGCAGACCACGGAGACCTCCTCCTTCCTACTTTGGGGTTAAGCACACAGCGCACAGAGATCCGCTCGCTTCCTCAGAGTGGCAGAGGACAGCCGGGCCGGTCTGGGCCGTAACCAACGAGGGCAAAGAGACGTGCTCACAGCCCAGCTCGCACTCCCTCCTTCCCTTCCTCTCTACTGAAGACACACACACTTGCCATGTGTTTGACTATTCACTCAGTCACCGGGATTCCGTGTGTCCACTCCCCATCCAGGAACAAGGACTGCTTGCAGATCGGCTATACGGTGTTTCTTTTAAAGTCTTCCCAGCCTCCCAACTCTTTTCTCTCCATTACTTCGCCCCCCGTGCCCCTCCCCAGAAAAAATTCTGCAAATATTTCCCCCCAGTACACACGATCAGGGTAATTCAAATCCAAAAGATACCCAGGGCAATAAAGTTCATTCCTTGCCTGTAATCAATGAAAGTCCCACGTCTCACCCAGGACGCCTTGCGCCTAAGTCTCCACAGCCAAGGCTGCCCGGAGCCGCTCAACTCGCGCCTTAACAGTGCCATGGGCAATGGGCAAGGGAAGGAACCGAAGCGACTCTCTGGAAAGGCTCCTCGGAGCAGGAGGTATGGAAGAAGATACCCTTGTCTTGAATGCCAGGTGGGGCACTCACCTGCTTGGAACTCCACTTGGCGATTCTTCTCTCTTTCCTCCTGCAGCAACATGGAATAGAGGATCCCGAAGGAGTTCTGGATACCAAAGATAGAGCCGTTGCACCAGGTCGCAGCGAAGACCACCATCCAGCCAAAACCACCTTCGGGGGGCTGGAAGCCTCGCGCTGTACCCTGGGTCTCCACGGTGGGCGTGGGCTCGGTTTCGTGCACTGGCTCAGGCTCCAATACCAGCTCCGGCAGGGTTGCAGGGTCTGGTAGGAGCTGAGGCTCCGGCTGGGGCTCTGGATAGGGCTCCGGTGGGGGCACTGGCAAGAACTCGGGCTCTGGCTCAGGGCTACCCACTCGTTCCTGCTGTTCCTGGTTTGCCTCCCGCCAGGGCCCCTTGGCTTCCTCGCTTGCTGAGCTCTGCAGCGCCATCACAGCCAGGGGACTGTGGCTGCTTGGACCGAAGGAGCCGCTGTGTGGCTGGTGCTTGTTTCTGCTGCTGCTGCTGCTGCTCCAAATGCTGCTGCTACTGCCACTGCCTCCTCCTCCCGGCTCCTC